GAGGGGGGGGGGGGGGGGGGGGGGGGGGGGGGGGAAGATAACTGTCCACGTGAGAATGGTCGATGGGGTTCACCTTAGGGTGTTTGCGACTATTCGCAGCTTGGGGTCATGTGCAAATGAACGCTGCGCCGCGAGGGGGGAGGGATGGGGGGAGACACACCACCCACCGTGCGTCCGTGTTAAAGCTTGGTGCGAATGAATGTCTGCTCGGATCGGTTAGGACGAGATCTGTCGTCTCAGAGATAGTTATCTCATCTAAGTTTCAAGGATGAAGACAAAAGGTCATCTAGTGGTATTGTTATTCTCTTTTGTGGATGAAGTAATAACTGACGTTAATTCTCGGGGGAGAAGATACGGTCCAACAGCGATGCTGCTGCGCGCCGGCCATGGTGATGGGGGGCCCTCATTTACTATGCGAGGGCGATTTGTAATACGTCCCTCGAGTGATGGTGTGCCAAGTGAGAGGTGGAAGGGGCTGTGCATTAGAATCGGACATCCAGTCTGTTGCGCATGTGCAGTTAATTGCGTAGATTTGTGAGGTTTGCCTTGAGTAGCGAACGGAGAGAGAAACCCGTAGGTATATCTGTATTTAGTATTTACTATTGTATATCTATAGTTATAATACAGTATTAAACCTAACGACCAAGGGAAGGTAGAAGCCGAAGCGGCAAATGAGCATGTGGATCTTGGGACGTATACAGAGAGAAGAAAGACGAAATACAAATCCGAAATACAAAACCGAAAAATGAAAAGCAAAGCTAAACTAAAGAGCAAGGTTGTTAGATTATTAACTTGTTATCAACATTTCTGAACGAGTAATACTTTCTCTCACAATCCAAAAGAAGAATCTCGCCGAACGACAGTAAGAGGAATGAATTTATATATACAAATATATTATTTTGTCCTTCGGGACATCCGTTAAAATTGGAACGATACAGAGAAGATTGGCATGGCCCCTGCGGGGGGATGACACACGTAAATCGAGAAATGGCAAAACAAAAAAAGAAGCGTTGAGCATATGCACGTTAAAATTGGATCGATACAGAGAAAATTATCATGGCCCCTGCGTGAGGATGACATGCATAAATCGGGAAATGGTAAAAAGAAAAAGAAGGAATGAAGTTATACGTTGAGTATATGCACATGATGGCAACAAAGGTGACGTAGCCCGATGGGTGTTATGGGGATGAGATGTCACCAGGGTTTCAACGGAGCTATATTTGATTGGCCGCTGTGGAGAGATGGTTAACGGAAGGCCCAAAATTTCGGGTTTTTTCGCCGCATCATCACAAGCAATGGCGTCGAAACTTTCGCGAACAAACAATGCAGGCTCATAATACAAACATGAAAAAAAACAAAAAGGCAGAAAAGAAAAAGGGGAAAAAAACTCCAAAGCACTATAAAACCCTATTCGGAGTAGCTTTCGGAAGTCGCCAAAATTTTCGACAAATTCGAAATTCGGTGTTTCTGCCAACTTTTTCGTTACTGGTCCAAATACGTGGAAAAAACTGAATACAGTACATATATACCCTAAAGCACATACATATCACCAAAAAAAAAAAAAAAAAAAAAAAAAAAAAAAAAAAAAAAAAAAAAAAAAAAAAACAAAAAAAAAAAAAAAAAAAAAAAGCAAATATTCAGGGAAATATGGCATACATATCACAGAAAAAAAAAAGGCAAATATTCAGGGAAATATGGCAGTTGCGGTGAAGTACTCGCCGAAAGTGATACCGGCTATTAAACCACCAGGACTTCCTGAAGTTGTGCCTAAGCCACTATTTTAGTAAATGTACGGAACACTACAGGAACTATTAACCATTAGTGCTGCTGCGATGACAATTGAGCAAGCCCCGTCACAATCTGAGGACAGGGGGTCATCATCGCAGGAAGCGCACCCAGGCAGTCTGGCAGTCTGGCAGTCGGGCAGGCGGGCAGGCGGAAGGATGCAGGAGAGACAAGGAGCCATGCGGGGAGGCGTACTAGGAAGCGGGCACCTACAGTCTTCCCCCGAATACAACGTACGGTCGTTATAGCTGTATTTGGGGCATCTTTTCGTCTTATTAGTAATACAGCTATAATGGCCGTACGTTGTATTCGGGGGAAGAAGGTAGGCAGTTGGGCAGGGTAGAAGTGTAGGCAGGTGGAAAGGGCTAAGTAGGCGAGTAGAGAGAGGAAACCTCCACTTTGTGCAGAACTGCAGGAACGGAACCTCCTCCCAAAGGGAACCACGGGAGTACTATTGGGGTAATCCAACGATGAGTGGAAGAGGTATGATGAGTTGGGGTCACCATGTATGTTATGTTTGTGGAGACGAAAAATAGAGGAAGGAGAAAAGTGTGATTACGAAGGGGGAGAGAGAGAGAGATGGCACGTGGAAAAAAGCTGATACGACGCAGCAGGGTGCACAACTCTGCTAGTTAATCGCCCAGACCGCCGTCACGCGAACTTAGCCGCGAGAGCGAGTGAGGAGAACGGTGAAAAGAGATGCGCACGAGTGAGATGCCATGTCGAAGACGAGTAAGGGTGTACTCACATTATAGGACTTATCCGAAGGAATCTTGGCGTAATTACGGCCATATACCTCCGGAGAAGTCCTTCAGTGTGGGTATGATGCCTTAATGCACTAAACTCTGCACCCGGGTAAGAAAAGTCGACCGCAATATGGAAACGTTCGTGCTGCACGCTTGCGACCGCACTGTAGAACGGATTTAGGTGCGCGAGTAGACATTAGCATTATCCAACCCGTAGTCTGCCATTCTAATCGGATCACGACGCCCTGTCCACTGAAACGCCTTCTCGAGAGCAGATTTGTCACAGGTTTGATTAGCGGGAGCTGTTGTGACCTGATGTGCTATCTTACAGAAA